TAATTCAGCTAACTTTTTATTCTGAAGATCTTTTATTAATTTTGGATAAATTTTACAAGAGATTTCTAATTTTTTATGATAAAAATTAGAATTATTAAAAGTGTGTTATGCTATTCTATGATACAAATACAATGACGAATCTATGGTGTGTGATAAAAACAAACATAATTTATCCGGCAACTTTTTCAACATCGTCAACAATTTTCACCTTGTCCTTATTACCAAACAAGATTTTATCTTAGATCTAATACTTTATACCTCTTTGAAATAAATTTTTTTCCAATTGTCTCTACTATTTAAGGATGAAATTAGACATTTCGTAATGAATTACTATCATGTCACAACCAAAATTTTATTTTAAAAAAGTTATACCATTTAGCATGAAATTATTTGGTTCTTAAAAATACATTTATTAGTGGCATGAAATTTTTACATTACAGTGTATACTAAATATATTTTTATTTTCATTTTTGCCAACAAATGAACATAAACATGTTTAAAATATTGGACAAATTACAAAAAAAAAAAAAAAAACTCCAGAGTTTTACATATTTTTTAATTCAAATGCGAAAGTTTAATTTCATCAATTTAAATTTTGAACTTCATTCTGTGTCACAACCTACACTCATGTCCATCTCAGTTACTTTGTTTAACAAATTTTTTTTTTTTAAAATACATGTGGCAATCTATTATTTACTCTTTTAACTTCTTGTAAAACCATATTTAAACTTGACCATACTAGATCACAAACTATCCTAACCATCCATTTAAATATTACCATGCACCTCACACAGTGGATAAACTCTCTCTCTCCTTCCCTATCTCTTTCGCCACTGAAACCTACATGTTTCCTGCTACAGCCTAACACCATCAAAACCCACACTGCCTCTACAATCATCCTCCCCTCCCCCTTGCCCCACAACCCATCGCCACCCTCTAAATGCACTGTTGCAGTTTGAAAACCTGGTTCTATTTCTTTTGGTAAAAATACTTCACAAAAAAAAAAAAAAAAACTTTTGGAAAGTTTCTTTCATTTAATTAAATTTCATGTAGATAGTATATTTCTCATCACATGGAAACTTGGGAATAATCATCAATTATCTTCAATAAGATAGTCAATTTGATGGGTAATAGCCTTCTCCATTGGATTAAGCATCCTTATAATAATATAAATTTATTAAAATGCTTAAAATGCATCAAACGAGTGGAGCCATCCATGCACTACCGTTAATTTAATTTAATTTATTTTAAAAAGCCCTAATTAATTTTATAATATGGTAACTTTTGTATATGATTAAGTCACTCTATGCGACAACAAAACATTTCTTTTCTTAAAAAATAAACTCATACAAATTGTTGTATAAGTGCTTGAACCTTGTACCAACTACCAAAGTACAGAAGAAACTTTGAAGAGCATATCAAATTTAGGCAATTTGTGTTGGTTTTAAGACATACAAAATAGTTCTAGAACTTTTCTCATTTTACAGTTGTATATGAATTGAGAACATAAAAATAACTATACTTCTTGTCTTAATTATTTGTTCTCATTGCTCTTTTTTTTCTCATTCTTTTTGAGGTTGGATATGCTTTGTTCATATGATCCTTTTTGAATTCATACACATGTATAGATGTCCTATACAAAAATGTTTATTGAATTTGAAACAAAAAGAAATTTTGAATCACATAGCAGCAATAACTTCAGATTTTGAATAAGTCTAAGAACACAAAAATGGTTATAGAACTGGACACAAAATGTATATAGATGGATAAGATTTTTCAAAATACTAACAAACTCTATAAAATTTTATGCGTATATATGTATTTATATTCAATTTTATGATCAATTTTGTTTGTTTATAACAAAACTATAAGATTTTTAGCTAATGACCCATTTTGATTTATAAGATCTATAAAGGGGCAATTCCAAAGATTCCAGTCATGGCGGAGTTTAGAGGAAGATCAGATATATGCACGCGCCTTATTGAGTATACAGAGACATTATTTCTATGATTTGAATCCATAACACTCGAATTATAATAGAATTATTTTATTTTATATTTTTATCAGTATAATAAAACAACCTTACCATTGCGGCAAGGGCCTCCCTCCCTCAATATGATCAAATTTTGAAAGGCATTGACTCCAAATAAATAAATAAATAAATAAATAATAACAACTCTACACAACCCTTAATTTAGGCAATAATTTAATCGTACGTGTGTAAGTGGGAGCAATTTAAAAAAACATTATTTTGTTTTCTTTTGATAAATCTTGATTTATGCTCCAAGGTTTGTCAGATTTACTAATCTCATTGGCTTGAAGTTGTTATTTTCTTTTCTTTTGTTATTTATTTTTCAAAATTTAGTCACTAATGCTGTATTTGGTTGACGAATTCGGAAAGGAACTTGGAAAGAAAAAGAAAAAGTGTAATGCTAGAGACCCCAAAAAAGAGTAATTCTATTTGGAAAGGAACTTGGAAAGAAAAAGAAAAAGAGTAATTCAACTAACTTTTTGTTCTGCTGATCTAAATTAAATATTTGGTGCGTTAAGAATTTCAACGCGATTTATAATACGATAACATGATCATTTTTGTTCTTATTTTTTCTAAAAAATTTGTCAAATGTTACACTATGTTATTGAGTGACATATAATCACTTTGTGTTTTCAGAATACTAAATAATTTCTCGTATACTATAACAAGAGCATCACCATAAAATTGATTAAACTTTTAGTTATGTTTTTAACTTCAGAGTTACTTTATTACCAATTATGGATATGGATATAAATATAAATGGAAAGTGTTAAAAATTGTTTCTCCAAATATTTTTTTAATTTTTAATGTAGTAGTGGCTTTTTGATCACAATCTAATAAAAAGTAAACCACAATGGACTATGATGCAAATTAACAACTATACTTTGTATAATAATTACAAAAATCATTTGGTGCGTTAAGAATTTCAACGTGATTTATGATACAATAACATGATCATTTTTGTTCTTATTTTTTCTAAAAAATTTGTGAAATGTTACACTGTGTTATTGAGTGACATATAATCACATTGTGTTTTCAGAATACTAAATAATTTCTTGTTTACTATAGCAAGAGCATCTCCATAAGATTAATTAAACTTTTAGTTATATTTTTAGCTTAAGAGTTACTTTTTTTTAGTATTCATTTTAGCTAGTCATTTTAGGAAACAATAAAAAGTTCTTTCCTAATTTTAAAAATTATTTTTACACTAAAATAGAAATTATATAAGTGTGTCAACCTTTCTTTAATTTTGAATAATAATAATAATAATAATACCAAACAAATCAAATATAAATATAGATACGGATATGAATTCCTAACCCTAGAATTGTCAGACAAATTCAAACAAAAACTTTGGGTTAGAACATTTTCACAAGTCAAAACCTTAATTTCTGAAACCCTAACTCTAATTTATGATTTCACATTCAATTGAAAACCCTAGAACATTTTCACAATTCAAAACCACAATTTCAATTCACAAAGCCTATTCTACCCACAGTGATATCAATTTTAATTCACAACATTTTCACATTCACAAACCCTACTCTACCAACATTTTCATCAATTCACAATATTTTCACATTCATAAACCCTATTACCCACATTGTACCCACATTCACATTTTCACAAACACAATAAACACATATAAAATTCAAACTGAGAGAAAGACAGACAGACACCATACCAACGAGAGAGAGCAGAGAACCCACGGACGGAGAGAGAGCAGAGAGAGAGTGTGAGAGCAGAGGGAGCGAGAGCAGAGAGAGAGCAAGAGCGAGAGCGAGAGCGAGAGAGAGCAAATCGAAAGTCAAAAAAACCTGACTGTAAAAAGCGTGGTTTTAAATGAGGGAGCTGGGAGAATTTTGTATAAGTTGTAAAAGCGTGGTTACAAACCACGCTTTCATTTAAAATCGGATTTTGGTTAAAAGCGTGGATGCTAACCACGCTTCCCTTGGTCAATAGTTAAAGCGTGGTTGCGAACCACGTTTTTTGAAAAAAAAAAAAAAAAAAAAAAAATTAAAATCCAGGTGAGGAACCACGCTTTCTATAGAAAATAAATTTCCTTACACGCGTGGTTTGCAACCACGTTTTCTTAATTAAAAGCGTGGTTTGTAACCACACTTTTATGATTTTACAAATTTTTCGCAACAGGGTTACAAAAACGGTGAAAGCGTGATTTGTAATAGCATTTTAACTTATTTTAAAAATTTCGTCCAAACTAGGCCTAATTTGAGAAATAATTTAATATTTTGCCTCATTTTGGAAAAAGCCCCAGATAACCCCTTCAACCCCTTGTGGGATGCATATGGTATGCACCCCACATGTAAACCATTTGATCGTGAAAATTTTGATCTTGGCAATTGATTTATTTGTTGAAAAAAGAAAACCGAACAAACCTGTTAACCCCTCTCCCCCTTATCCCCTCCCACTCCCTCCCACCAGATTCCAAACTCACTGCCTCTCACTCGTTTCTCATTAAAATGATAAAAATTAAACTTCCGACCAATAAAATAACATCACAAGAGCATTTAAACTCATCACATGATGCATTTTAATGGTAAACTACCGACCTATATGTTCACGTAATCTACCTATCTGTCTATATGACCCATTTTGCTGCCGGCCACCTCCGGCAACATTTCCATCAACGGCTGATCCAGGAGTAAAAATAATAAAAATTATTCTTCAAAATAATAAATTGTCATTCTCACCAAACAATTTCATTAATCATGTCCTTATAACCAAAACAAAAAGATCATTGAACCTAATGCCATACACATTCCAAAATGACTTCTCAACAATTTTTCCATTAATTATTACAATCTTTTTGCATGTGAAAGTTAGGAATATTAGGTAATTGTCAACAAAAAATAAAAATAGAAATAAAATAGTTTTGATGGTGTAGGTTATGAATTATAAATTAAACTATAATATAAAATTTAAAAAAAAAAATTTAACACAAATGAAAGGCACACAAACTCATCTTACATATAAATGTCTAATACAAATATGTATGGCATCTTATCATCGTCCCAAAAATGGTCCCTCTTTTGTCTCACATTTAAATACATATAAAAACTCACTAAAATTCAACATATACGAGATTCAAGTTGGGTTGACTAATGGACCAGCCAAGTATTTGAGTTTGTGACAAAATTAAAATAAAAGCTTTGAGTTGGTCAATTAATTTCCACCAGCTAGCTCTGACTAGGAAGTGATCCAGCTGTTGTTTGCTCCAAAACCCATGCTTGTGTGCTACACTCCACACACAAAGTCGCTTCTTGTGGCAGCCACACCACTACATAGTCATGCACATAAGTAATATAATTTGTTTAAGTTACAAAAATATTTGAAAACAAATATAAACAACTTATATCAGAAATGGCAAATTTTGGGGAAGAATATTTCGGAAAACAGATTTTGAGAGTGCATTCACAAAACATTATCTGCCTTTATTCTAACACTATCTTCTTCCACTGCTACCGAATAAAAAAGACAGGGCGGAAATGTGTGTGTGTGTGTGTGTGTGTGACAGAGAGAGAGAGAGAGAGAGAGAGAGAGAGAACAAACACGCTTCAAATTCAAAAGGAAATGAAGTAAAAAAAGAACCTGAAGTGAGATATTGTACACACCAAGGTCAGAGTTGTTCACTATTGCAAGGTATTTATCATCTGCATTCTAATTTCCATTCTCAAGTCAATTTCTTCCCAGGAGAATAGGATCTAATATTAGAGGTGGCTGCAATTCAGTGCTCACTAGATCGCCAATTTCAGCAATTCCTGAAGATACAGCGTGTGATATGGCGAAGTATGATCGTAAAGATGCTGCCTCCAAATGCACTCTCCACTTTATTGCGAGATTACACTGGAAATAATCTCAGCAAAGTAGGGAATACACAGTCTACGAACTTCTGGCCAATTTGACATTTTCTTTGAAGTCCGCTAGATTTGGGCATCCCCAAACTTTTGGAGTTAGTGGAGGTGGCAATGCACACCCGATCCTCTTCAATTTGGGCAGTTCCCACAGATACAATGTGTTCAAATGTGGCAACTCAGGCTTGGGTGATGCATGTTCAAACACAGCCTCCAATTCATCACAAAACTTAATTTGAAGGACTTGAAGGTTTATTGGCAGCTGGGAAGACGAGAAGACAATCGACAACTTCGGACAACAGTCTAGATACAGATGCTTGAGGTTTTGAAAGGTCTTACTTTGCCAGCTCCCACAGTATATACCCTTCAAATTAACAGAATTAGAAACCCATAAGACCTCTAAACTTTCTAGTTTCACCATTTCTTCTACCTCTTCTTCATGAAAAACACACTCCATTTCTCTGCATCTCTCTATCCAACAGCCTTTCAGTACCTGGAGGTTGGACGCACCCAAATCAGATATCCATCTTTGAAATGCATTATCGACCAAAAAAACACAATCAGCATGAGAGAGAACTTCGTTGATGCCCTTGGGGGAATGACGGAAGCCACGGATTGCCAATGAACCTTGCTCTTCAAAATTAGAGAACTGCTTGGTTTGGAAGTAGATATCTCTGAACATAAAATCATCTCGGTAGAAAGATACAACTCCTTTTCTATCACGCTCCTCGATGGGATGAACAGAGATGTGGAATTGCCTGAAGATTGTGTTCCGCAACAGTGGATTGTTCTCCAGAAATTGAAGAAATTGGGAGCTACTTACAGATACAGGAGGTTTGTTCTTGTCCCCAACTGTTTCAGCTGGCAAACTGGAGATGCCCCATCCATACTGATTTGGCTCCTTTAACTTGTTGCTGCCAGCTCCCTGTGTATTCCTCATGTTCGGCAGATCAAGGAGCTCAAGATGAGTCAATTCTGAGATCCCTTTGGGAAGATCTTTAACAGTGCCCCGGAGTAGATGAAGCAATTCTAGTTGTAGAAACTCTTGTAAGCCAGGACAATCTCTAAGCAGAAGCTGCCGGAGGTTGCTAAAGTTCTCTAGCGATGGAAGATGATCAACTGCAGTTCCAGAAAGATCCAGGACTTCCAGTTTTGTCAATGCTTCCAAACCGGGCACTGCTTCCAAGCTTGAACAATCCCTTAGATAAAGCTGGTGAATGTTTTTGAGGTTTGACATGGATGGTGGTTGTTGAAGTGGGGTTTCAGAGAGGTCAAGAATCCGAAGGTGACTCATATTTCCCAACAAATCAGCTCCAATCTCTAGCAAAGAGGTAATGCCACACAAATTTAGCTCCTCAAGTTTTGAAAGAGACTTTAGGTGTAGAGGGGGTTGCAGCTCGGTGCATTTTTTCAGTAAGAGGTGGCGGAGGTTGCTAAGATTTGAAAGTGACGGCAAATATTTGATTTTAGTTTCAGAAAGATCAAGTCTCCATAGGCAAGACATCTGGTCAAAGATGCCATCAGGTAGTTTTGTCAAAGCAATGCAACCAGAAAGATCAAGCACCTCCAGTTTTTTAAGGGGATTCAAGTCTACCAACTCCTCCAGGTATGCACAAGAGGATAGTAATAGTCGACGAAGGTTCAAATGATTGGAAAGGGATGGCAGAGTTCGGATATGGGTTTTTGAAAGATCAAGTACTTCTAGGACTCCAAGTGTCTCTATGCATAATAGAGATTTTTCCGGAGGGGAATTTTTTGAATTGAGTTGACGAGGATTGCCATGATCAAGTATAGTTCCTGATAGATCAAGAATCTTAAGGCTTACATTATTTTCAAGCGATTGATCATGGAACTCATTAAATTGGCTAGCATTTGAAAGATCAAGAACTTGGAGACTTGCTACTGAACTAATGCCGCGCAGTCGAACCAACTCTGGGCAGCCACTTAGCAAGAGATGCGTGAGATATTTAAGATTCTTAATCAATGGTATGCTTTTAATCTTTGTTTTGGAAAAATTAAGCATTTGAAGTTTCCCATTTTGCGAAAAAGTTTTGTCTTGGATATTTTCCAAAGATGTAGCACCAGAAAGATCTAGCACCGTGAGGTTTTTAAAGTTTCTCAAACTTTTCAGAGTTTTCAAGCGAGAACAGTCTCTTAGGATGAGCCAGCTTAGTTCACTAAGTTCATAAAGAGATGAGGGTAACGACTCAATTTGAAGTGCAGATAGGTTGAGGCTCCGAAGTTGGGGCAGGTGCTTAAAAAACTCATCAGGGATTGTCGTCAAGGAGTTTGGACCTGATATCTCAAGAACAGTTAATTTTTCAAATTTTAGGGTGAACTCTACCTGGTCAATCTTTTCCATGAAAGAACAGCCTCTGAGCACAAGTATGAAAAGTTCGTGCATCATAGATGAGGAAGGAGAAAATGTCTTCAATGGAGGGTTAAAAAGGGCAAGAACTTGCAGTTCTTGGTTGGACTGAAAGAAACTACGAGGAAATTCCCTGCTCAGAAAATTCCCATCAAGCAGTAGTGTAGAGAATTTCTGACCTTGTTTGCGACTCTGCAGTGTTTTCATCCCACCATCCTTCTGTGTGATTCTCCCAAGGCCCTGCCAATTCCCATACCCAAACACATTAGCTAATCCCAGACTGGCTGTGCCCCCAAAACCACAACGGTAACAGTCATCGAAGTTCGTTATTGCCCTTTCCATTACAATATCATCCAAATTCAGAGCTAGTCCTTCCATTGTAACACAATCAGCCTCCACTATTTTCAGAATCTGACAATCTATAAGCTCCATCAAAACTTGATGTCCTCTCTCATAAGCCTCTTCCATACAATTGATTTGACCAAAATATCCTTCCATCATCCAATAAGCTATCAATTCATTATAATGAATGCGCCGACAATCGCGAAAGAAGTGGCTACCACTGCAAAAGCAGTCAATTAAAACACTGTTTGGCAGCAAATCATACCCACTGCGTAGTAAATGTGTGATGTTGTAGATGTCATTGCCAGATGCTTCCTCCAGAGAACGTTTCAGCTTCTGCAACCCATTATCTTGTTGAGCAAAATAATTGAATGCTTTTGCCAACAAGACAATTGCGGCAGGAAAATTTTTAGTCAAATTTTCAGTCTTTTCGAATAAAGCTCCAGCTAAAGCTCTAATGCCTGGAACCTCGTAAACTCCAGTCCTAACATGTTTTTGCAATAAGGACAATGACTCGTCCTTTGACAAGGGCTTTACCTCAATCTTTGACCCAATGATCTCCTGAGAATTGATTCTATTGATTCTTTTAGTGATTAGAATTTTGTGATTTTGTAGGTTGACATTCAACAGTGTTTCCAATTCAGACATTATCTCTTGTGCGCTCATTTTATTTCCCTCGTCATCCAAAACTAGAAGCAGCTTCTTTCCTGCGACTGTTGCTTCTATTTGATGTTGCAAGTCTCTGGGGTTCTCTGATTCCTCATTTTTATCCTCAACTTCTGCCTCCCGGGTGGTGGAAAGTAAGGATAACTGATGAGCCATACTGTCACAAAGAGAGGCCCTGTCATGTTGTCTGTTGAGAAATACCCAGAGAGCAATGTCAATTACTCCCTTATTTTTTGCGAGAAGACTCATCTCTCTGGCTGTCCATGTTTTTCCAACTCCAGATTCCCCAAACAGAACAATCCTTGGGACTTCTTTATCTTTCAGCAGTTTGAATAACTCTCTTTTCCTCTCTGCAACTGTACTCGGAGACATTGCTGATGTAATAAATCCCACTGCATAATTTTTTATGTTAAAAAATTTTAATCATAAATTTCAACACAACGGAGACAAAAAAGAACATAGATTTGGTATTTGCCAGGGTAATGAAAAACCAGAAGAAACAAAACAGTACCATAGCAAGTTGGCAACATCAAATATTGCATGTTCCCCACTTACTTTGACTACATTCGAAAAACATACAAGCACTTCGTTCTAGATACTGTAATCAGTAATGATGAAAAATAAAAAGATGAAATGCAATTCAAGTGCCTTTAAACTTCACAGAATTGATATGCAAATAGGCAGACATGGAAGTTCAGGTTTTCTTTTGTTTTTGTTTGTTTGTTTATGGGTCCAAACTCCCGATACATCTGAAATTTCCTTTCTACAAACTGTAAGACAATAACGTGCTTAATAATACTCTACAAAATATATATGCTAGATATATTTAGGACATCTAAATTATGAAAGATGGACTTTGTTCCATGTTTCACAGCTCATATTATCCAACATCGACAATACAAATATAGTATCATCTCTATACATATTATAATCTCCAGTCTAAGAAATTTATTGAAACAACAAAAATGAAAGCGATGAACTTTGCATGGTTTTCAGCTAATATTATCCAATATCTGCTACGTGCATAAACATTATCATATTTATTATATTATACATATATATGTATGTATGTATGTATGTATGTATGTATGTATGTGTTGAATTGATTGCTCTGTAAGAAGACGAGTTTATTGGAACAACAAAGATTTAAAAAAGAAGCGCAGCCACAGTAGAGGAACATCCTTTGAGAAAACCGGAAAATGGTAAGTCCTATGACAGAAATCAATACTATGATCAAAACAAACTCAACCAAAAAGGCCCAATTAAGGACTGCTACAAACATCTTTACATCATGAGCATTCAAACCTTACACCCACACTATTCTCAAAAATCATGCGATTACATTCTAATTGAAGATGATACAAGAATAACAAAAAGTTACTTTGAATCCTAACTTCCCAATAGATTGACCTTCCAAGTTGGAGCTAATTTGAACAACAATGTGGTCCCAAATTCCAAAATAATGAACAAGACCACAATTTCTATGCCCCATTTTACTGATCTATTAACCAATGGGTCACTATCCCAAACCTTGCTAACTCTTTCACCAAAGTTAGAAACCATACAACCAGGGCCGGTCCTGAGGCAGGGAGGGCATGGCCACCTTGGGCTATGGAATTCTATCTAAGAAAGAGGGACCCCAAATAATTTTAGCTCATGTTTGGTTCATTGCAATGTAGTGGATGAAATAATCATTCCACATAATGTCCATTCTCACATTTGGTTCACTAAAAAAATTATAAAAATATATATTACAAATAAAATCATTTCTTATTATTATGAGAGAATAGTCATTCTATAGAGAGAGGCTAAGGAATAACCATTCCTTTCTATTTAGTTTCATTCCAGTGAACCAATCATTACGTTGTAGTATTAGTAGTATAAAAATGAAGTTTTACAGAAAAAATTTAAAAAACAATTGAAGTGGTGAAATATTTAAAAGTACTAGATGGTTGTTTACCAAATGTATGGATTGTTTATAAATAACTATACGAGTTATATCGCCTCTAGATAAATAAATTTTAAGCTGAAGTTGATCAATTTTACATTCAATTGCCTATGTCAAAATTTTTTTGAATAAATTAATAATGTTACCCATCGAGTCCAAAATTTATCTCAAAAATTATGATATATGTGTATCTTAAGAACTATAATTTATGTCAACTATAAAAGTCAAATGGAAATTACTCACAAAATACAATATTATAATTATTATGAAAAACAAATTATAATAAATTCACTCACTAATATAATGTGGGTGTTTGGGAAGTGGGTTTTTGTGTAGGTGTTTTTAGTTGTAAGATATCATTGGAGAAAAAAATTTTTGTGTTTGAGAAGATAGTTGGGTTTTTTTGTGGTTGGATGAGATGTTTGTAAGAGAAAAAGTGAAATGATTATGGGGTTGGATGTGATATTTTATTTGGATTTGTCTTTTTTGGTTTCACAAAAAGTTTGTCTTTTAGTGAAAAAAATCAACAAAAACCCAACAAAAATTGTTACCAAACACCGCCAATATTTTCAAATTGGATTTATCACTTAATACTTTAAGTGATTTCTGTGTATGGAATGGTTAAAAAACAAGTAATTTTAGTTTATATATGCTAGCAAATTTGTGTAGGTATACATATATATATATTGGGATGACTTTGCATACAACCAACCTTTTCTTATTGGTGATAGAGAGAGCTTACTAGACTAGACTAGACTAATCACATTTTGTTTGGTTTAGAACAGTCACTGAAATATCTTGAGTACATATTATTTAATATCCACTAATTGATGACAAAACATGGAAGTATCTTATAAATTGGTAGATCCATGAACATTTGATCTTATGCACACAAATATAGATGCACCGTACACCTCATGTAAGAGCTATAGAACACAAAATGTTAGAGAACCTTCTAATTAACAACAAAACTCCAAAAACAATGAAAAAATGTTTGAAATCAGTCTCCTCAAATCAACTACAGCCATTATATGCAGAAAGCAAAAGGTAAATAATAATACTTGGGCATGTGAATATAAGTAAGAACACAAGTAACATAATGATAGCCAAATCAATAAAACAAGTAGCCAGTTTAGAGATAAACATAACAAAGCAGAACAAGAAATGTCTTTAGAAGAAACCAATTAGCATTTTAGAAAGTTAGTTATGATGGATTACTATTATATTTTTATATTTCAGTGAAGTACTAATAAGGATTGACCAAAATGGATTTACTAAAATACAATGACAACCACAATTACTACATCTAGGATTGAAATACACAATTTTCAAATCACTCACTAGTGATGTATTTGGATTGGAACTGTTGTTCGGTGCCTCTTTTAGGCCAAAGTGCACAAGGGTTTGTGATATGGTCATTGCAGAATGTGTATGAAACTAGCTAGATTTGTTGGAATTCTCAGAATTTGGACTTAATTTTTTTTCTTGATTCATCATATATGAATTAAAGGGACAGATTTTAGATAGGATATATCATGGGATTGTTAGAATCCAAGAGCATAAGAAAATTATGTGACAAGTTAGCATATATTCATTTAAATTAAATCTAATAATTCAACCAAACACAAGAGATCCAACAAATAAATAATTTGGGAAAATTCAGATTTACAAAATTTGACATGAGCAAGTTCAACAATCCACAATAAAATAAAAAATAAAGTTCAACAAGTAAAATTAATATCAAGGTAAGATTTTCAAGGACATTCAAGAAAATCTATTGCTTGATCTTAGTAATATATTACATTTATGATTCTTTTACCCCCATTCAATAAATAGTATTTCACATGGCTTGTTTCTAACTTTTGGAATTCAATTTATTTGTAATATGCAGAATTGTAAGGGCTAAGAATGAGTCAATTGAAAGCAATCTTTAAAGATCTGTGTCCTAATTATAGATTCTTGAAGATCTGTCTCCTAAGAACATTCCAAATTATAACTATTATCGAAGCATGATTAGCAAGTTTGGGAATTTGTGATGATTGTATTGTTGGATTTGCATTTTCCACAAGACTTGAGTCTTCTTGAATCTGAAATTAACAGCACTAATAAGTTACAGATACACAACATTTCAAAGAACATTTTCAAGCCCAAAGACAGAGCCAGAGAGAGAGAGAGAGAGAGAGAGGGGGGGGGGTGAACCTGTATAAGACAAGAAGTTCTCCTCTTCCAAAGACACAACAAGTTGGGATCACAAATGTAGTTTGAATATATTTCAGCTCAGTGACCTCATTCCTCCGACCGTTATTAACGTCACATTTATTAAAACAGTAATGGTGGTGCTACATGCACTAATTAATATATTAACTAGTGTACCAACACTAATTATGACTTTATTATTGACTCCACTCATTATACAAATTACAAACATCAAAAATTTCTTAAATTATGTCACATAATCAATTGATACGCTAATTAGTACACTAATTGGTGCATATAGTATCATTAAAACAATAATGGTAGATATAAAATAGGGAGCTCCACTTTGTTTTAAATTTATTTTTAATTTTTTTTATTATATAGTTATATTAATATTTTGGAATTTTAATTTTTTTTTTCAAGAGGCATATTTTGTATGAAAGGTATTGATGTAACTACATGTAATAAGGACAAAAAAGAGAGAGTATTTGGAGTGAAGTGGAGTGAGAAAAGTAACTCACAAAATATTTGATTGCGTGCAGAGAATTATTCTGGAATCAAACCAGAGAAAATTGAAAATTTCTCTAAACAAAATTGTTAATTTTTGAAACTAAACTTCACAAATACAAAGCAATTCACTGTGCTCCATTTGGAATACCTGTATATTCACCATTACAGTGGCCCAGAGAGTGAGAGAGAGGGCTTTACATCAATGGCATTTACTTACAAACCAGAGAAATTCTCTCTGATTTAATTTTCTGTGTCATGGCAAGAGAAATTTGTTCATTTTCTCTGGCCAGACTACGTACTCATCCCTCATCTCTGTGTTAAACAACAATCAACAGCTAATATTGAAATCAATTTTCTTTTACAAACACATTCATATAATCAAATCCTTTACCAATCAAATCCTTTCCTTCTGTAGGATCAAAATCGATCAACAACAAGAACAATTCACAATTCATCAAACACAAATAAGTCATCAATTTACACAAATATAAAATTCCCCATTTAAATCTGAATACACAAAAACATATTCAAACATGTTTTTATATACAAATTTGTATGCTAAAATGCAAAATTAAAACCTAGGGTAGCAAAAGCAATTGGAGGAAGAACTGTGTGACCTGGGTTACTTCTGCAGATCTATGGATCTGAGGTCGATCTACAAATCTCCTGCGACGGCTCGACGGCGAGGAATCACGGCGATAGATCCAGAAGGAAAGAGAAAGACGAAAGGGACGGCGGTGATGGTGGTTAGTCGGCACTGCGGCGGCGGAGGCGAAGAGAGAGAGATGCAGAGGCGAATGGGAGACAGCGGCGGAGGAAAGAGAGGTGGTGGTCTGCGACGAAGGAGGCAGATAGAGGCGGTGGTCTGCGACAAATGAGGAAGAGATAGGGGCTGAGAAACGCGGCGGAGAAGATTGAGGAGGCGGTGGTGGTTGGCGGTACCGAGAGAAAGGGAATGGGAGTGGTTGAAGAGAGACAAGCGAGGAGGAGGTGGAGAGAGACAGGAGAGAGGAGCCCTGGATATGGGAGAGTGACTGAGTAACGCTAGGCGTCAAAGGAAAAAAATATCACGAAAAAGAGCAATGATCTAGACCATTAATTTGTCATCGTTAATCCACCACTAAGGTAGTAATTGAAAAAAATTACTATAAAATATAAAAAATACATTTTTGGCAATTGAAAAAAATATATTTTGCTTAATGTGCCTGTTTGGCAGAAATTATTTACAGCTTATTTCAGCTTTCAGCTTAATTTAAGTTATTTTGATGTGTTTGGTTTAGCTTATAGCTTATAGCTTATAGCTTTGTGGAAGTCAGAAATCAGCTTATTCTTTGAGTGGGGCAGGAGATGCTTTAAGAATAAGCTGGAAATCAGCTTAAGCTGAAAGTTATAAGCTATAAGCTGTTTAGGCATAAGCTATAAGCACTTTCCCACAGCTCTACCAAACAGGGCTTATTTTAAAGACTAGTTAGATGAATATCTTCAATGGTAATAGTTATTTTACCTATCTAAATATTATTATAAAATATATATTTTATTTTATCTGTTAACTGTTTCATGGTTCTATTTTAATCATGTTTTTTATTTTAGCTATTCATCTAAATACTATTAACTTTATAGAATGTCACGTCAGCAACAAAGATTGAGGGAAATTATCTTAATGATTAAATACATTTTGCCTAATCTTGAAGGTTAGCTACATGTATTTAGTGAATGTGAGTTAAGCCAAAATGTCTAATTATATGCCTAGTGCATTGGAGTTGAAAAAAGTGAGTCACATTAGGCATTTTAACTAACAAGTATTATATGCGTAGTGGGTTGGAGATGCTCTAATTAGTGAATGTAAGTTGAGTCAAAATGCCTAATCATATATGTCTAATATATTAGAATTGAAAAATATAAATCATATTAGATATTTTAACTAACAAATATTATATGCCTAATGAGTTAGAGATGATTAAAATAGCTAGCTAGCTATAATAATATAGACTTGAGAATGATCGGGGTAGATAATGGAAAAATGTATTATAAAATAGGGCAAATTATATATACACCCCTCCAGGTTTGGTTAAATTACAGATACCCCTGAGGTTTCGGAAATTACATCCCGCCCCCTGAGGTTTGTATTTTCATAACAATTTACCCTCTGAGGTTTATATTTCATAACAAATTACCCCCTAATTTCTTATGCAAATATAGCATTCAGGGGAAATTCGTAATTTCTCAAAACTCAAGAGTATCTGTAATTTTGTCAAACCTGGAGGGGTGTATATGTAATTTGCCCTATAAAATAATAGTTTTAGTTTTTCTTCACGTGGGATCCAAATGAATCTCGTCCATATAAATAATTTGATAAAAGTCTAGAACTTTTGGATTTTAGCATTACGCTAATAAATAAAAGGTGTAACTTTGCCAGCCTGATAGACAAAGAAAGAACAATAGCGACAGTTTGAATAATACTTAGATCATAAAAAAAAATATGTTTTATGAAAATTTTTTATTACTTAATAAGTATGTGATATTTTTTTATATATATAATTTAACGGTGGTGAATATTTTTACTAGTGATGGGATTAATGATAACAAATTAATGGTCTACAACATTGCTCATATCACAAATAAACAATAAATTCTATCTCTATAGTTAGAATGAATCTTTCTATTTAGATAAAATTATCTTATCGCATATGCATAGAAAAGTAAATAATAAATTATTATTAAATGGTAATACAAAAAATATAGAATCACTTTAAAATCACTTTTTATTGAAAAATAATATATAAAAAAAAATTAAGAGGAGAACAAAAAGAAGTGTCGTCCAACTTAGGCTCCGTTTAGGAAGAAAAAAGTCAGGTTTTTTTGGCTAAAATAGCCACAAAAAACAAAATAGGCTATTTTAGTCACAAAAAACAAAATAGGCTATTTTAGCCACAAAAAATAAAACATCAAATCCAACCCATAATCATTACAATTCTCTCTCACAAAAAATGTCAAAAAAGCCAAAAAATCCTTCCCAAACCAGGCTAAAATAGCCAAAAAGCCAACTCACTTCCCAAACGGAGGCTTAGGGATGACAACACGGTGAGTCCAAATCCTCTATGCTTCGCTTCTATCTTGCATTTGGGGTGAGACAAGAGTGATTAATTTTGTATTTAAAATAATAATATATAAGTCTATTTTTTAGATCTGTTTTGTATATATATAAGTAAGATGATTAGTTGATAATTAGACAATATATAAAAGAAAGCACTATTTTAAATATTTTAAAGCTATGCCACATCATTGAGTTTGAGAGTCGGTTTAATTTTTAGGTTTAAGTAACATTACCATTTTAAAACTATAAATAACAATAGAGATTAATGTTTATATAATATTATGTATGAAAAACATAAATTAGATATTATATATTATATTCATATATATTTAATAAATATAATTGATGCTAGCGTGGAGTAGAACGAGATAAAGTCTCCGTTTGGCAAGTTGATTTTGAAGTTTTTCAGGTTAAAATAATCACAAAAAATAAAATAAGTTTTTTAGTCTAATAAGATAAAATATCACATCCAACCATAATTATTACATTCTTTCTCTCACAAAAAAATCAAAAAAATCAAAAATCCTTCTCAAATTAAACTTTTTAATCCTAAACTAAAGTAATTAAAAAAATTAAAAAATCAACCCACTTACCAAACGAACCCAAAAAAGCAAAAGCTGTCCCTGCTCACTTCATCAAAATTCACACCGGATGGAGGATGCAGGTTGGAAAATAAATTGTCATCCCTAATTAATTTCTCTGATTTTAGGCTAAGAATTGTTTTGATGGTTTGACTCGGCTATTTCTTAGAATAGTTGGTAAAGTCGACTGGTTCAATTAATTGGTCTGCTCCAATTTTTAAATAATTGGTTCAGAAATTATTAGAAGTTTCATTTACTCCAAAATCAAAATTGATGACATTTTTTTTTTGGATTGTGACAATATAAAATATTATTAATAAATACTATACAAAAATTCCTTCTTGTAATTTATATATATATATATATATAATTTTACTTGTAATTCTAGTACTTATATTTTACTTTTGTATTTTTAAAATATATTTATGAAATAATTATAATGTCATTATTTGATTCCATTTAACTAGACTGTTAAACTGGGAACTCCTTCACTGAATCTCTTTTTCAATTTTACTTCATGGTACCAATTTGAGAACATTGCATCAAGCCCCATATGCTTGGAGTTTTGAATTAATATTTGAGATTTTATCCCTTACCAATAAGATTTTGACACGATTATTAACTTATAATTTGACATCGCATACACTGTACATTACGATTATTAAAATATTTTTATTTACTAAACTAAAATTGCAAAATTGCAAAATTTCATACCTTTTTATATATGCCCTTTTAAGGGAAAAAAAAACTATTTCTGAAATTTTCTGATCGAAATCTATTGAACAAGATATATGTTGACTAAGAAACTCTATCAAATAAAAGAAAATAGAATATAGCCATACTACACTAGAGAAAAAAATTTGTGGAAGATAATCATAAAGATTCTCCACTATTGAATTAGTTTGTGGTATTTTATTATATATTATGCAATTATATACACTATGCTACAACTTATCAATCATAAAATACTATCAAAATTTATACTATTTACAAACTAAGACTTCGAAATTAAAACATATCTATATTACGGTAAAAAAAAAATTAATATTTATTTTGTTACCTACCACACTAGATTATTTCTAAAAATTTCATTAAATTTTTTCTCTTTCTTGAAATCTAGCATTTTTGAAAAATTTAATGCACCACCTACGGCTCTTAATATTGTGTAAAAAAAAAAAAAAAAAAAGAGTGAAATCAAAAAAAAAAAAAAAAAATTGTACTTAATCATTTTTTATTTATTTTTTTTGGTTGAATGTACTATCACTTTTTCATTGATAGTTGAAGTTCTGTTTTGTTTAAAAATACATATAGGAATGTTTTGGAAAGTTGGTAAAAAGATGGCTTTTTAGTTTTTTGATTTTTTTAGTAATTTTTTTGGCAAAAAATTGACTTCTTCTGAGTAAACAAGCTGACTTTTTTAACTAAAAAAACTAAAAAGCTAACTTTTTTAGCTAAAAAAAATTAAAAAACTGACTTTTTTAACTTCTTGGCAAATTGAGCCATAATAGTCAAACCATATTAAAAATAAATAAACATTTTGAGGGTGATTTTTTTTTTTTGAGAAAAAATATTTTTAAATAAAATTGTGGTTTGTTTTTTGCCCTCAGTTTTAGAAAAACTTTTTATTTTTATAGGTAAATAAAAGTTAATCAATATGAGATTTTTTGTTTAAAAATAAGAAAATTAAAAAAAAAATAGTATGAGATATTGATCATAAAGTTTTTCACTAAAAAATCTCATTTTGCTTATATAATATAATATAATAATAATCTATATATGAAGAAAATGAACCTTTTAGTGAGAAACCTTCTAGCAGCTCCAAACCCTCATTCTAATTTTTTTAATTTTCTTAATTTTAAATAATTATTTTTATTTGATAATCCCACATCGGAAAAAGAAGAGAAAAAAATGAGTTGTTTTACTCATATAAAAAAAATCTTATACTCCCATCACATTTAATGAAGAGCCTTGTGAGGGTTTCAATATCCCATTCTAATTTTCTTAATTTTAAACAATTAGGAAGATCTCCATTGGCTAACTTTTATTTGATAATCCCACATCAGAAAAAGAAAAAAAAAAGTGAATTGTTTAAGTTGGGATAGTTTAAGTTGGAAGCTTTTATCATAGTTTATATAGCGATCCCGGGTTTACCCTTGTTGTATAGTGATCCGGACATGTGTCCGTGGATGTTGGTAGTTGTTTATTATCTTGTTTACATCCTTTCTTACTTTGTATTTGAGTTATAGGATGTGTTGAGCGGGTTTGTTACAGGTTGGTTGAGTTTAGAAACCAAAACTAGTTGCCCAGATTTTTGGCCTGTACGCTCGAGCGGAGGTGTTGGCGCTCGAGCGGGGAATACATCCATCCAGTA